ATTTAATCAATCAATCAATCAATCAATCAATCAATGTATTTCATAACTAAACAGATATGGAGTCTAGTTCTGGCACTAACACTTAATCAACTTTGTGAGTTTTTCTATATTAATCTTAGTCCCAGTTTCCTTCTCTAAAAAGTCTAAAGATACATTTCATGGGGCAACTCTGAAGACACAGTAGAGTAAGACCAATAGCTCTTGAGCAGTATCAACATTCAATAAACAGCTGTACGGCGATATTTTATTTGTAATCTAACAAATAAAGTGTGCCTGAAAATCAGAATGCAGAGCTCAGCCACTAGTCAGTCATAGAGGCCAGGTAGTGGTGGCACACACCTTGAATCCCAGTACCTGGGAGACAGAGGCAGACAGTTCTCTGTGAGTTGAAGGTTACCCTGGGCTATATGAGATTGAGCCAATCTAAAAGAGAAACAGTTCCTGGTGGTGGTAGCTCATACGTTTAATCCTAGTACTGGGGAGTTAACAAACCTTTAGTCCCAGTACCAGAGAGGTAGAGACAGGAAGAGATATGGCTGGCCAGAGAGCGAATAAAACAGGAAAAGACAGGAGCTCAAGGCATTCAGTCTGAGGATTCCTAGAAGACAGGCTCGCTCATTTTGCTTGAGGATTTGTGGAGACTGGATCTTTCTTGGCCATTTTGGTCTGAGTATTTCGTAGAGGTAAGAACCCTAGTGGCTGACCACTCTGCTTCTCTGATCTTCAGACAAGCTTTGTTTGTTACAGCACAAACAAAATATCATCCCACACCTGACTTTATTATTACCTTGCCTAACTTTGTTTGATCCTTATTTTATAGTTCTAAACTTTTGTTGTGTGTGTAAGCATTTTCCTAGACAGTGGTTGTTACAGACATGAAGAAAATGGAGTTAGGTAAATATGAACTAAAACTTGGACAATATTATTACAATCTAAGCAATTTTGACAAATGTGTGAGTTGTCTGTGCTTCAGTCTCCTCACGTGGGATACACAGTATCAGTAGAAAATGTAATCACTAGCTGGTAACGAACATTCAGGTAAAATACTTTGCACAACCTCTGGAATATTTAAGAACTCACTAAGCACTGCCATCCAAACAGGATCTTAATGGTGACATTGTATTGCAAATATAGATGCTAGACTCTTCCTTTCTTTTCATTTTTCTTCTATATATTGAACAATAAAATCTTGGTTTATATCTTGTCTATAAATCTTGGTCAATGTTTTCAATTGTTTTCTTAAATTTAGCAGCTGATACATTAAGCCAGGAAACCTTTTATTTTCAAATAAAATCTGAACCAGAAGGAACAATAAAAAAGACCTATAAATAAAGGAGTTGAAAAGAGTTCAGAGATTAAAATGGATGGTGCAGCAGACAAAAAGCTCTCTGTATGAACGTGCTTGAAAATTACTGTGTAAAACATCTCAGTCGAACAAAAATTCCTTTTCTCTACAGAATAAACAAGGAGTTGCTTGAATGTGGTTCTGATGCTGTGGTGCAGGAAAGATGGAATAACAGTAACACAACTACCATTCAATACTAACACTCTCTACCTGGTATAGGACAAACTCCCAGCATCACGTATTTCTGTGTCTTTCAAAAAGTTGTTAAGACACTAAACATGAGCAGCTCCGTTAACCCTGTGCAGTACAAACAGCAACTTATTTTAATGATGCAATAGTTACATTCAGGAAGTAAGCTGGGTCCTTCATACGCCTTTTGCTCCAACAGGAAACAGATCCTGGCCTGGCCTACACTAGTCACCTTCTGTATGTGTTGCTATTGTACTCAGTCAATATATTCACAAGCATGAGAGGTGAAAAACTGTTAGTTCCATCCTAGTTGAATTTGAAATGTTCTATCACAAAATGAAAGCTTCAGAAAACTTTCTAAATATAATATCTTATGCATTTGTAATTAGTCAAAGTATATGCCTTTAAATATGAGTTAGAGGTAACACCCATAAACTTCTCAAGATTCAAATAAACACAAAAAACTTAAATATTAAAGCAAAATGAAAAATCAAGAATTGGTAAGTATGCGTTACGAAGACAATCACTTCAGTTGCTAACGTCAGATCTTTTACATTTTCTGAAAGCAGCTAACTCTTGTAAAAAATATCTAATGGAAAACAAACAACATAAACTCAGCTTTACACTTCCCAGTTTGCCAGGGTATAATTTTCTGTGGAAAGTAGTATGCCTACAACTGCAGCTCATTTTAAGAACAGGTGTCCCAGATAATGTCACTTGATCCAACACCTTCTTGCTTTGGTAAGTAATACTGACACCGAGGGCAAGAACTGGATTTATGCTTTGACCAAGGCCTCTGAGCCGACTGCAGGGTATGCAGGCTGCTGTAGCACTTGAGCCCCAGGCAAATGTGCTATGTTAATTATTGTTACATGATCTTGGCATGAGCTAATCCCCATCCCTGTTCACTTCCTTAGTAATTGAAGCTCCAATGCTTAAATGATAACAAGAGCTAAATAATATAGAACAATGTAAAATTGAGCAGATGAGGGAACGGTTAGTGATGGCCATTCATCTCATTGGCTGAATACATATTTATTTCATAGAACAGAATGTCTGTACATCAAAGCATCTCGGTCTACCACTAAATCTGGAACTAAAGCAAGGAGGAATGGTGCCTGGCGCTTCTGCTTTGAGTGTCCTATTTTTGCCATGTTAAAAAGAGACACTAAAAGTTGGGTTATAGGAGAGGACTGAAGTTGATAATCAGACACAAATTAGCAACTGCCAAGCTTTGACACTCTAGTTTATTACGCAGCAGCTTACAGAAGCACACAAAAAACAGCGATTTTGACTTCCACAAAGGATGTTATAATTCAGAATACCACATCATTTAGTGCCAGTATGGGTAACCACAGTAAGGTAACTTGCAGAACCACGCTTCATGTCAGCGTTTGTATTTATTAACATTAAATCTAAAAATTTAAATAAGTGCAAGTGGTAATTAAAATCACTGTTTTACTAATTAGAATAAAGCAGTGTTACACTAGATTTTATATAGATTCTTTCTGTAAAATAGAAACTCCAAAGAAACTTGCAGAAAAATGACTAACCAATTAAAACCAAGTTGACTGAATTCTGAGTCATGTCCCAGTTCATTAAATACTTAACTTACTCAATGCCTTCTGCTCAGTGTATGCTGCCCTAGACTGGAGACCTCCACTGCTCTGGACCTTTTCTTCAGATTTATTATTACTACCACTGTGGCTATTTGATAATTCGCTTTACAAAAAAACTAATTAAAATACTATTAATTACATTATTTATTCCCTTTCCTTTCCTCCCTCTTCCCTCTCCTATGTGCTATTCCTCTCATCTTCTCACAAATTCATGACCTCTTTTTACACACACACACACACACACACACACACAGAGTCTGTTTAGTGTTGCTTATATGTATATGATTTCAGGGGTTGACCATTTGGTATTGGATAACCAATTAGGGGGTCATCTCTACGAACTTAAGAACTAATTCCCCTTCTTTCAGCCATCATGACTTAGCTACAATTCTCTGTCTAGGACTGGAGCTTGTGAAATTTTCCTCTTCCATGTTAGCGTGTCTGCTGGTGTTGTTATTGTTCAAATGTTGTTTAGTAGTCATATTTGTATGAAGAAGATATAATTATAGTTTACATGAAAAACAATTAAAAATCTATTCCATTTCTGTAAGACTTGTTTTGTGTGTGTGTGTGTGTGTGTGTGTGTGTGTGTGTGCGCGTGTGTGCGCGCGCGCGCATGTTTTAAAAGTTTAAACTAGGCTGGGCAAGGTGATTCACAAGTAGAATCGTACCTCGTCAGAGTCTGAGTTTAGAGGACATGATAAGCTCTGGGCTGGGGTGAAGCCCTGTGCTAGAACTGCTCCTTGCCTTTCCCCAGGAATCTATAAGCTAGAAGACTAGTAGTGGTTATCTTGGGTTTACTTTTGGGCTTTTCCTTCCTGTTTTTTGTACATTTTTAAATTGTCACACATGAACATCTTTAAAATAGAAGTATGAATCTATTTTAACCTTGAGTTATGTACTGAGTTCTTGACATGGTATCCAATTACTGAAAGGGTAAGAGGAATATTTATTTATACTTTGTGTTTAAATCACTGGAGCATCCTACCTTCCATATTAAAAGTGACCTAGAAATATAATGCTAGACAATATTAACGTAACAGGAAATGGGGAAATGTCAGTCTTAAGCTTCTTTGCCTTTATAGGCCCCACTGTTTCAACTGTTTCAGAACAGGACAGTTTAAAAAGAAGAGAATGTAAGCAATAATTTCAAGCATCTACTTTTACTGCCAACAAGGCAACTCACAAAGAGGCAACAGGGTCTTTCTGGTGAGATGTCTGCACCGGCATTCACATCCACACCTCATAACATTTTAAAAGCCACTCATAAGAAAGCTGAGATTTAATAAGCTCCGGTACAATATGATTAAAAGATCTCTGGGCATTTCCCTCTTTTTGGAATTTAAGAGACAATAAAATAGATTTGGAAGGAAGTACTTGAAAGATGGAGTTACTAACCCATTCTAATACTTATGGTGCCTGTGAAGAGATACAAAGGTCTACAATCAGCAATTCTTCTCCAGGTCTCAAAGTTCTTTCTTTCGTGTTACAAGTCATTTTCCAAGTCAATGAAAGTCTTCATTTGTATAATTTGTAGAATAATAAGGTTGAGATAAACGATCTCAGAGTCCCTTCAAGCCTTACAATTTTAATATTTCTGAAAGGCTATTATATTAATGACTATTGTTCTAGACCTGGTAGAAATGAATAACTGACACAATCAATATTTTAGTTTAATTTTTAGGGAGCCTGGGGTTACTTTTCATTAAAATTGATATGGTTATACACTTTAATCCTATCAGAGTTTTAGCAAAAATTTTTTACTAATAAAATTATACACATTAAGGATCATTAAAAACAAGTATTTGGTATTAAGTATTTTGAAGAAAACTTCAAAACTGACTGACCTGATGACTTGATTGCAGTGGGCACACATGGGAGTTCGCTTCCCTGCTGGAATGTGCTCGGCTCGCTGCACCAGTGTGTCTTGGTCACTTGGCTGGGGCGGCCCTGCAGCTGAATTCGCAGGTACCCCGGTACTTGAAGAAGTCACACTGTTTGTAATTCTTGCTGTAGAAGGTGCTAGAAGTTAAACGCAAGAAAACCAGAATGTGAACAAGCCAAGTATGAACTTTTCCATAATAACAAAATTACTGGCTATCCACTGACGTCGTAGTTAACCAGGTGAACAGAGAATATAAAGGCAAGGGTTAGCACACAATATGAGTGACAGCCATGATGGGATTCTACTTCTTTCTTACTTTCACAGGAGATATGGTTAGGTGACAATCATAGGTGACAAATTTCTTTCCACTTAGTTATCTCTGCTCACCTGAAGTAATTAAGCTTACTTCAAAATATATCACAGGCATATAAGAAACTTTAGTGTGTTGAAGATAGAGAGCTCACTCTACTCTCTTCCAGTGTGTATTTCCCAAGAAGGTCACATCATCCGTTAGCAGGCATGTCAGCTAGTCATCCACGATCATCCCCAGCCTTCCTGAGCAGTTCTGGTAAGAACAGTTGCAGATTTCATTAACTTTGCCTCCCCTTCTCTGTTCCTACAGTGCTTCCTGTTGAGGTCCCAAATGTTTTTTGTTTTTTGTTTTTTTTCTGGAGCAGCTGCCAAAATGACTCATCTCCCTTATATTCATTTTCCCAATGACCACTGAAGATCGTAATGCTGGAAACCACAACTATGTAAAGGGCTGCAGGAGTCTCCCTGCTCTCTGACCAGTGAATGTAGCTCATGTCTCCCTGTACTGTATACAAGTCCTTCCCTGTGACATCCTCCTCAATGTCATTTTTCACCACTCTGCCTTCACCAAGTGCTACAGCAATACTAAGCTGCTTCGCTTTTTCTTTCACATATGATCATCTATGCACAAGCTGTCTTTGCTTCCAGGAATGCCATTATTTTCTATCCTTCTCCTTGTTTGCATTGCAACTACCATATATGATTTAAGGCTCAACTCCTCGGTGAACTACTTCAGACCCTCTTACTGGTCCACATCTACCATGGTTCCTTCCACATAACAGATCAAATGTTTGTCTCCTAGGATCCCATAATTTTCCATGAATGCCTTAATTATTCTACTAAAACGTCTGTGTATCTTCTTCAACATAGCACATTCCCAAGAACTCTTAATCCTATTCTCCACAAATACAATCTCTGAAATGAATGAATAAATCAATCAATGCATGAATGAGTTAGCCCAAATAGGTCTGAAACCAATGGAGAGGCCTTCTCTTCACCTACAAGCAATTAAAGTCTAATGGACTAAAAAACACACACATTTAACTATGGTTTAAAGGGAACAACTTAAACGAAAAGCATGTGCATATAATACAAAACCAATATTGTGATATATATATATTCATCTATGCCCACACAAGTAGACAATACCTATTAAAGGTGTGACTAGAACTGTGTAAAGTTAAGTAAGACAGCTATAAGGATGCTTTTCCTTTGCCGGAATAAAAGCTGTTTGCAGGGATTTGCAATTACAGACGCAGAAGCCCTGCACTTCGACGGTACTGTGTGCATTGCTTGCTCTATGAAACAGAGCTTTCAACACGAGGGAGCTTGACAGGGTTGGGAACGGGTTTCCACTCTTTGGCTTACATACTCTCTTAAAAAATGGGACATTCCTGTCATATGCATTCACATATCTTCTTCCTTGGTACTTCAATTACTCTCACAGTACACTGCTACCTCGCCTCTATGGCTCCTCAGTTTCTGTGTGCAGGTTTGTTATCACTCGAAACTCTAGGAAGCGTTTTCCATGCTCAACCTGAAAGTTTTTACATTTAAAGCATGTAAATGGGTCTCCTCTTGGGCACGTTACAGCTTTTCCTGAGAACCTCCATTTTTAAAATCTCCCACGTAGGCAGGCACAGAGGGCAGGCATTTTGCCTCCCGTGCTCCTAATGTGTCATGCTCAGACTCTAGGGACTGTTTCACAGTAACTGTTTTCGAGCCAATCCATCTGCCCCCCTTATTGAAACTGCACCCTAACATTTGAATTTTGGTTTTGAATTCCTTAAGTCTAATCAAGCTTTGTCACCAGTGGCAATCTGTGACTTCTTCCATTTCCCCAATTCTTGTGACACATGCTCAGTCTCTCACACACACACACACACAGAGTTCAGGTTCCTTTCAGAAAACCATATTGGACCCCACTTCTGTAACCTTCAGCCAATGAAATGTCCAGTTACACATTTGCTCTCTTCTCCAAAGTCCCCACTGACCACTGTAGGAGAAGTACTCTCGTTCTCTTTAACATCTACCACACCCAGCCTGGAGAATTCACAAACTATTTGTCAGACTCCTGTTACTATCTTCTCTTCTCCGAGACAATTAGTTCTTAAAATGGGTACAAAATATATGTTCTTTTTTTTTTGACAATAGAAAATTGCCTCAAGGATAGAAAGTGAAAAGACAATTAAATAGAAGAGAGAAGGTCACAGCTCACTTTGTTGTTTCTGCCCTTAAACTATACAGAAAGCTATTTCTCCAGTGTGGGTTAGGGTTAGGGTTTCAAATGGGGAAGTTACTAATTGGAAAATCTGGAAATCAGACCTCAAAGAGAATGAAACCCTTTCATCTACTGTATCACATTATCTATGCATAAGCCCTAAAGTACTGAGTCATCTGAACACTTTAAAGCAATAAATGAGTACAAAAATTCTCAAACAGCCACTGTAGAATGGGACATAATCCACCTGGCACAGGCCTCAAGAAGGCACTAACTTATTTATATGAGAAGCGTTTTTAACCATAAACCATGTGGCTGTATCTTAAATACAAATAAGAAGGCTCCAAGCCCTATTGCTTTCTGTTAGTCTCATGTACACCACCTTGGTGTGCAGGAAATTCTCACACCGGTTGGCTGCTGTGTGCTAGCACACTGGCTGGCTATGCAGTCTCTGCTAACAACCAAGCCCTGAGAAGTTCCAAGGCAGACTTACTTACCATATGGACAAAATACTGTTTCTCCAGACTGAGTCTCACACTCTCTAGTACAGGAGCAGCTGATATCTGAGCAAGGACGAGTACAGTCCTACAAGTGACTGTAAGCTCTAGTCACTTAGCAGGATGAGGTGTAAGAGCATGAGGCACTGGGTGACGGAGACTATATAAAGTCTTACTCCCGTGGTAATTCCTGCACCATCTCAGAAAAACAGTCTTCCATGGAGACCACGGTTCAAATGTAATGAACCCACCGGAAAAATGAGTTATCTTGATGATAATTTACTTATCTATAACTTTTTTTCTTTCCTTGTACTTTATAGTAAGACCAGCACATAGGAACAGGGAATCAGATCCATTTCACAGTGTGGAAATATCAGCCACAAGTCAGCACAATGCCACAACCAGAACACTGGGAAATGAGCTCTACTCTAGATTAAATTTCTTCTTCAATGTTAATCCTGAACAATTTTCATTAAATTTGGATTCTTTTTGGAAGATCTCTATCTGACTAGAACTTTGTTTGAAATATTTTCCTTTTATAATAAGCATATTTCAGCAAAACTCTCAGCTAATCACTGAGAATGTCCCTTTCATGAACTAAAATTGCGACCTGAGATTTTTAAGGGTTATAAATGATGCAAATCCATATTTGGTCTTCCTTTCTGCTTTACAGGACTTGGGGTCTACAGAGACTAACACCAAATGAGTTAGACAGGTACTAGATAATGTATCAGTATACTGGATGGCTCTCAGAATATACAAAAGGGTTTGTTAAATTAGACAAAATACACAGAATGAAAAGTAATTGAATTGATAGTTTTAAAAATATTTGTCATGATGTATCTCTTTTAATCTGTGACTTCTTAAATCTCCCCATTTCTTACCATAAACACTCTTGTACACACACGTATACACACACACGTATACACACCACACACACACACACACATACACCATCCACACATATATGGACTTTTGTTTATGTTGAAAAGTTAAAGGGAACAGAGAAGAACAGGACTGTTCCATCATCACAGTGTCACTTAACCGATCAAGAATGCACAAACAGAAAGGATAGTGATTGCTCAAGGATATGGAATTAAGCAACTGGTCCAGCATTGAGCATTCTACTGGGCTTACCAGTATGAACAAGAACTACTTCTGACTTCATGAAGTTTAAAGGCGGCCATGGACCAGTAAATAACTGATTTTGTTAACAGCAGGAAGCAGTGTAGACAGGAAATGTTTCTCAAAGACACAGGTGATGTGGCTTTGTGTCCCCATTCAAGGTACTATGAGATGGTGGTAGACCCTTTAATAGGTGGCACCTAGTAGGAGTTTGGTAGGAGCATGGTCTCTTGATAATGGCTGTTAGGTGATTGGCCTTCTTCTGCCACATGCTCCTGTCACAATGAGACTTCATCACAGTGAATGCTTTGATTCACTGACAAATGTGATGCTCAGGCATGGCAGAAATCTGGAAGTACTAACTCAGTGAGTGATAAGTTTAGGAAGGACTAATCATAATCAAGTTGATTAATTTCCACTCTTTTAAATTTTACTTTCCTTATGGCACTGTCCTAGTTAGCTTCAGTTGTCCACCAGACAGAGTTTAGGGTCATCTGAAGGCATCTCAATTGAGGGACTCTCAACCAAGGAACTGCCCAGATCAGACTGACCTGTGGCCATATCTGTGAGGGAGTCTTCATTGATGACTGAGGTGAACGGGACCAGCCCACTGTGGGTGGCACCATACCTAGTCAGGTGGCCCTGAGAAAATAAGGGTAAGACAGCCTGAGAGAAAGCAGGAGAACAAGTCAGCAAGCAGCCTTTGCCATGTTTTCTGTCTCAGTTCCTGCCCTACCTCTCTCAATGATGGACTGTGATCTGGAAGTCTAAACCACATAAACCCTTCCCTCCTCAAATCGCTTCTGTTCAGAGTGCTTTATCACGGCAACAGAGATCAAACTAGAAAATGAGCATACTTGGGGAATAATGTATGAAAGCATTATTTTCCCCCTTTTGCTTATAAAACCATTATTCAAAATACAACAAACTTGTGCTAGTGCCTCTAACAGTTTAGGTTATATTTAGATTAAGATAATATTTA